AGCGTGTCCAATTTGAAGAAATCCCTATCTTTGGATTTACTAAGCGAGAGAAGAAAATCCCATCGTTTACAAATTTTCCATAAATCTGTGAACAATAGTATTGCTTTGCCTATCCCGTCTTATTATCAATTGTCTATTAGGAAAACTAGAAATTACTCGACGAATTCATTTATTCAACCACCTGTACATCATGATTACTACAAGTATAGTTTCTTTCCGAGAACTATAAGGGACTGGAACTGTTTATCACCTGGAACTAGATCACTTAATTATTCAGCTTTTTGCAGTACAAAATTTTTCTAAGTTTTTATTTTTAAGCATAGCTATATCGTTAATTACATATTTTATTTATTTATTATTTTTATTAGCTATGTTTATATTTTTATTCTTTTATCTCTTATTGATGTGTAATATTTAGCGTTGAAGAGTAATAAAGTAGATGTAGATGTAAATGTAGAATAAATGGAGGTCCCGTCTCCTGCAGGGTTGGGGTAGGAGACGTTAATTTCCCACACACAAGATTACTGTGTGATGGATGTCCTCCCCTGTGGTGGGATGGGTGGGAAGATGAGATCGATAGACTGAAGCGGCTGCCAGAGGCACCTGATATGCTGACGTCTGTTCTCAACCTAACACTACGCCCATAATAGACCTACTCGGTTTCATTGAATTGCATAAATCATGTGACCTAAATTGGGTAAACACGGCGATCCCAAAGCGTGTTGACATTTTCCATCTTATAAATAAATATGATTCATTATTGTGCAGTTTACGGCTGTACTAATAGCTCGTTGAACAAGAATTTATCATTTCATTCTCTTCCAAGTAATCCAAGGATTAAAAAGGTATGATTTTGATGTGTTTCTATGCTTAAAAGTTTGCTCTTTTGTGCAACAATTTAGAGCAACAGTTTTAAGTTGGAATTCAATTTTGTGTTTATATTTATGTTACAAAAACGCTTATTTTATCTTACAGATATGGATAACGAAGATCAAACGCGACCCAAACAAATATTTTAAGACATCTAAGCATACAAAAGTATGTTCAGCTCATTTCTCTGACGAAGATTTCATCTCTCTCCATAGTCAGAAACGAAGACTAGAGAATGACGCTCTGCCTTCAGCTCGTACAAAGGAAGTCAAAACGAGATCATTTCCCGACAAACTTGCAAAAAACAAGCAACAAGAAGAGTTGATGAAGCAGGAAGAAATGGCTACTGCTTCAGAAGGAGAAGGGACTTTTGAAGTCACTGATAAAGAAGGAATAGTGTCTAGATCTGTTCAAGTGGACATTCCACTGCCATGCAATCGTCGCCTATCTTTGCAGCTCCTTCGAGATCAGTGCAATACACAGAAAAATGACTCTAATGATTGCAATGTCCTCCAGACCTGTTAAAAAAAGGATTTCAAAATAAACTAGTTACACAAGACTGTAAAGGAAAGAAGTAGAAAATTGCAAGATTACTTTTTATGTTTAGAAGTATGACTCACATTTTAAAGTATAAAATAAAATTAATATATTTGTGTCATATTATTATTATTATTAAATTTAAATTTATACCGCGCAGTTTCTATAAAAATATTCAACTGCGCCTTACAATAAATATTAAATCAAAAATAAAATAGAAGTTCAAAATTACAATTCTAAAATTCCATAAATAAATAAATAAATATGCATATGGGATTTGAACCCACGACCCTCCGTGATCTAGTCGGATGCTCTAACCACTGAGCTACAGGAGACTCTATGGTGAGCAAGGGTCAATTAGTGGGTATTGACTGGAACTGCATCACGCGGCTACACAGCCAAATATCAGCTAGTGCATAGAAGCTCACTAACAGCATCACGCTGTCACATTAAAGCATCACATGCATTAAAGCATCACATGCAGCCAACCAGCCTCCAAAGTGAGCATGTAAAGATGAAATAAACAATTTTTTTTAAAAAATCGAGTTTCCAGATGGGATTTGAACAAATCCGACCAGATCACGGAGGGTCGTGGGTTCAAATCCCATCTGGAAACTCGATTTCTAAAAAAAATTGTTTATTTCATCTTTACATGTTCACTTTGGAGGCTGGTTGGCTGCATGTGATGCTTTAATGCATGTGATGCTTTAATGTAGCCCAGTGGTTAGAGCATCCGACTAGACACGGAGGGTCGTGCCGGTTCAAATCCCATCTGGAAACTCGATTTTTAAAAAAAAATTGTTTATTTCATCTTTAAATATGCATATGTAGATAAATATGCATATGTAGATGCATATGCATCTACAACATTCTTGAAACCCTACTTAAGGCAATATCGAAGAAAGTCTTACAGTTTTAAAAACAGTAAAACTATAAAGTCGAATTGTCAGCTCTTTTTTCAGTAAAATAAATACTATTGAGATGAGCTACATAAAACTAAAAAACATACCCAGCTTTGCAAGAACACAGCGAATTGCTAACTTCAGCCATTCCATTTTTAGTTTGTAGTGTAATTTTGACTGCATGTGCAGGTTCATTTTTACGCTGAGTTCGATGACAAAGTCCTGTAGCAATGTGGTGGCCAGTTGCTTCGTCTGATGTATATACGTTGTGAATATAATTTTCCGAAAAAAATTTGTATCCTTTATCACCAACTTCTCCTTTCCCACAACCTTTTAAATGACTTGATATTGTAATCGAGCTAACTTTTGGGAAGTTTTCTAGACGTTTTGACTGCGAAACACCACTACTGTCCGCCATATTGGATTTATGTTTACCCATTTCAGATCACGTGACCTTAAAGCGGAGGAGGTCAAATAACCTCCTTGCCCGCGTTCGCGGTAACCTGTACTGACTCCCTGGTGCTAAAACACAAAACAATGAGCCGGGCTGATTTGGCGAACACCAAAACAAAAGAAATCACGCGGCTCATGTAATCAGGCCGTAAGTGGGTATTAAAAACGAAAAATTCAACATGATGGATGAAGGTGAACCGTCAACGAGTAATCCTGAACAACAATTGCCAAATGGGAGTAAAAGGTACAGTTCAAAGTTCCTTTTTTTTTTCCCCCGAAAGGTTCAATCGACACCACTACTTTTGAACTGCAAAAATCCAGAGAAAAGAATTTTATTTCCGAGAGTCAATGTTTAACGCGCATGGAAGAGATAGACATCAATGCAAATTTTAGGAGTGCTTAATCAAAGAAGAATGGGCTAAAATTGGCCAACTAGGCTTCGTGAAACTCTTTGCTTCTAAATCAACTCACCGGTTTTTGAAGATTAAAGATGTATCTACAATTTGCACCTAAAATGAACGATTTTTACGAAGTAGAAGTATTATTATCCTTTTGAACTTGAAATATACCAAATTCGGGCATTTTAAGAATGGAAGACATTTTTCAGAGCGATTTTCTGAAAACACTTGCTACCTTTGAACGATCAACGTGCGGCAAATAAAAGATTACTCTTTACAAGAGCCAATTATGGCTCTTGCTTTTTACTCTCACAGAATTCGTTTTAAGTTTGAAAATTGTGTTTCGTCACTACCAAGGCACAACTTGAATAATCAATAAGTATTTTACAGGATAATACAGTTGACAGTTTTAATCGCTTAAGAAATACTAAAGGCACTGTAATGATAGTTTGGTTCTGCAAAGAGTCAAATGCGGCGCAACTTATAGTGTCGTGCGCACAAAAATTCTCTTGGCATTTTTCAGTGCTAAAGCATCACGCATCCATCCATTCATCAATCATTCATTCATTTATCTATTCAGTTCATTGGTGGATCCAGACGTTTAGCTAAGGGAGGGTCCCGGTTTTTTTGTGTATGTACACCTACTGGCTTTTCTTCTCCTCTGCTCTTATTATTTACTCAAAATAAAAGGGAAGGACGGGATCCCCGGGCCGCACCTCTACATCCGCCACTGTAGTTATCAGTTCGCCGGTCAGCCAATTGTTGATCGGTTAGTCAATCAATCAGTCAATCATTTGGCGCGCAAGTCAAAATCAGTCTGTCAGGAACTCAATCGATCATTTGTCAATGAGTCCCACACTTTGTTCAGTCAGTTAGTCGATCACTTTTCAACCAATCACTCAGTCAGTCTGTCATTCACTCAGTCATTTTTTTTTTTTACGTCAGTCTGTCACTTGGACGGTCGGCCGGTCGACGGTCGGTCGGTTGGTTGTCAACCACTGCCGCCTTAACAGAAAGTCAGACAGTAGCTCACTTATTTATTCAAAAAATTATACTTTGCCTTTTCAAAGAAACGGAAATGGTTCAAATGTGGATCCTTTGGATTGTAGGCTTCTTCCTGAGCTGCCTCCTAAGAAAGAGGAAGGAATTTGGAGACTTAAGATAGAATACTTGAGTATCGAAGAGAGCGACGCCTACAGAGTTTGTCTGATTTGGATGGTACGGGCTATTTATAACAAATTTGATTTTCTTTCGTTCTTTTGTTACTCAGGAATAATTTCTCCACAGTTCCATATTAAAGGTCTAAATAGGGGATTTACGGAATTCATGTCAGTCCTTCTCCCCAAAGTTATACTGGAAAGCTTGTTTACGTGGTGTGTCATTTCTACAATTTCAAATCAATTGCAGTGTTCCATTGGTAAATAGACCAATCTACCCTCCCCTCCCACCCGTTCATCGGCCTCCACTAGTTCAGTTTTGTTTTGGCCCGTTCACCCACTTACTTTTGTGTTCGTTCGTTAAATTGATCTAAATTCTTATCAACAATCAAAAATTTTCAAATTGTCTTTTTCTTAAGTCTTTTACGACATGATGATTGGTAAACGTAAAAACACGTGACAAGCACCCCTCAATCCCTCTCCCTCTCTCTTATGTCGCTTGTTTTGTAACATAGAACGTAGCCAAGAACCAAGCCATTATCCCAGATGCAGACGTCATCACGGACCCTGCAGCTCGAGAAAGAGAACAACTGAGAGAGGGTAAGTGACATGTTTAAAACATTCAATTCTCGCGTGTCTTACGCTTTATGGGCAAAAATCATCTTAATAAGCGTCTTTGATTTCTGTGAAACAGGGCTCATTGGAAATCCGTTTGTAGAGGAAACAGAAAGAACAAAAAGAGAAAAAGAATCATGGAGCCCCGAAGAGGAGAAACAACTTTGCTCTGCGTGAGTATGAATCGGAGTTTTCACACAGGCCTTTTGTTTTTGAATCACTACAAATCGATGTTACAAAAAAATAAATAAATAAATAAATAAATAAATAGAGAAATGATATTGAGATAAAACTTTCGGGCCGTTGCAACTCAAAGCGCAAAATTTTCAAATGGCGCGAAATATAGTCCTTTCAAAATTGCGTCTTTCATGCAAGTTGCAAAGATTTCTTACGATAAGGCAAGCTAGAGCACATCAAGAACGTTTTATAGTCTTTTCGATATCAGTAACAAGGTATTTATCGATGAAAAGATCTAGTAGGCTCCAACCTATAGTAAAGATAAGGTAAAAGGTGCAGTGGGGGAGTAAGCTTTTTCAAGGAAGTACTGCACGTTGCTAAATGATAATTTCAAGCAAAGATTAGCTATACCGTCAGCCAATTTTTTATAGGAAATAGTTTGATCACAGGTTAACTCCATTTGTAACAGACATACCTTATTTCCGAATAAGCGCCCACGCTCTATTAAGCACCCTCCCCCCTAAATAAGCACCCAACCTCCTTAAGACATAACTTTAAACGGGCGCCCCCTCCTCCCTCACTTTCTTAAATAGAACGAGTTCAACCAAAACCTGTTTCTATTGCCACTTTCTTTTTGTAACTTCAATAAGCTTCAACTACTGAGAAAATTAAACTACAAGAGAAAATTAAGCGTCACCTTCGATCAAGGACCCTCCTTCAAATAAGCGCTGCCCCCCCCTTGCCCTTTCAGCTGAAATTTTTGATAAGCGCCCGTGCGTTTATTTGAGGAAATATGGTATCTATCAAGTTAGAAAAAAAAAACAATGAAAATTTTAAATGAACATTTCTAGATGTGTCAATCGAGAAACTATTTTATTGTTACTCTTCGTCCATCATTTTAGTACAATCTTATAAGATTGATAATAAGTTTACCAGCGACGTATGGTCTCTTATATGACAGGTTAAAAAGAAACAAGCAAGACTTTTCCGAAGCAGCCAAATTAGTGCCAAATAAGGTAACAAGACCCATCAGTACGATAACATGATATAACGACTTATCTCTGTGAAGAAATCCGGTTGATGTCGGGCTCAGGGTCGCTTTGGCTTCTTGTCAGCGGCATCACTTCGCGAACATACCGCTGACAAGGAGCCGAGATGACCTTGAGCTCGCATTAGAAATTTAATTGACTCACATTTTGTTAGCTAACAGTTAGCTCATAATTAAGTGTCAATGGATCCTTGATGATAATTGTTATAACATGCCATATTTACACGTTTCAGACGCAAGCAGAATGCGTGGCTTATTGGCATCATTACGAAAATCTGCGTTTGAAACGGAAAAGGGATCGCAAACTGAGCGAAGAGGCTGCCTCACCTCCGAAGAAGTCGAGGTCAGGAAGAACCATCAAAACTCCCCGACGCTTCTCTGAGGGAGCCAAGGAGCGTCGGAGGTGAAGATTTTAAGCCCTGCTCTAAAGGGTGATTTTTATCAGTCGTCTGCTTTAGAGTCGTTTTCATTTGAATGTCGAAAAACTAGTACCAAAGTAATTACAGCGACCAATCAGAACAAAGGTTTACATCATCATTAGCCAATAAGAACTCAGAGTAAAAACAAGCAAACTGCCTGAAGGCGTGAAAACACGTATGACTAAGTCGCTATTGTTTTTAGTTTTGCATCTGATTGGTTAAGAGGATAGCGCGAGTTTTCTGAACCAATCACAGAGCAAATTGAAATAAAACCAAAGCAATCCCGGATCACTTTCGACACTCTTACCCTTCTCTAGTTGTGGGCGAGTTATTACTATATTTCGATTTTTTCAGCATGTGATAGAAGGTTGTAGGAAGTACGTTGGCTGATGTGGTGCCTATGCGCAGCTGCAAAGTTTTTTTGGGCTTTTTTCACAAGGTTAACTTTTGTGTGATGGTTGACTTGTCATAGTGGGCAGTCTGAGCACAGAACTAAAAGAATTGTCATGAAATAGAAAATCTTCCTTATGCATGTTCGGATACTAATGATAACTTTATTCCCTCCGAGTCTTTTTATGTATGTAGTTAGTCTTCGTAGTCGTCTCGGCATGTTTAAAATATAATTTTCTTTCGAAAACGATGCCAAAAAGGCCTATTTTCGTACGCATGAGAGAATAAGGAATGTGTGGTGAGAATGTAGAGAGATGTCTCTCCATCTTTTGAGTCGTTCTTAGGATGTTGGTTGTTTTTTATACGGGAATGAAAACACTTTTCGAAGGTTAAATAAAACCGAAAGAGATTTTAATAGGACAATAGGAAAAAGAAACAGGTTTATAAAGTTTACTAGCGACGTATGGTCTCCGTTTTGTGTGTAACAGGTTAAAAAGAAACAAGTAAGACTTTCCTAAAGCGGCCAAATCAGTGCGAAATAAGGTAACAGGACCCATCAATACGATAATATGATATAACGACTTACCTCTGTGAAGTAATCCGGTTGATGTCGGGCCCAGGGTCATTTTGGCTTCTTGTCAGCGACGTCACTTCCCGACCATACCGCTGACAAGGAGCCGAGATGACCTGAGAGCTCGCAGTAGAAATTCAATTGACTCACACTTTGTTTGCTAAAAGTTAGCTCATAATTAAGCGTCAATGGATCC